TTATTTTTTTTGTTTTACGTTGTATATACATCTTTGTATATTTGTCTAGATGTTTCAGAGGTGAGATCTAACAATCATTTCATATAATCATTTGTTTTTTGGAATAAAAGAATGTTTTAAAATGGTGTTTTCTGACATTTTTATATTGTAAAATATCAGTGTCCATTTAAACACAGTAAAATAATACATGAAAAACTAAAAAGTATTTAGATGGAATAATACAGTATTTTGGGTTGACTATCAGGTTTATTTAAAAAGTTCCATCACATAATAAGCCTCATTTTATATAGTAGTATGTTATTCTGACAGTCCAGAATATACAGAAGAACAAGAAGCTGAAGATGAGTTGTATGATGATACAGACATGCAACCCCCTCCACTTCCTAGCCAACCACCACCTTCTAGGCCAAGATATGCACCACCACCACCACCTCCTTCAGGCAGTATTGGCCTTGATAACACCTTGGGAGGTAGATTTCTTATCTTAGATGGTTAGGATAAAATAAAAATAAACATTTTTAGTATGCTTTAAATTTGAGAAGCATACATAAAAAAGAAACAGAAATGATTAGGTTATGCCCATGTTTGAAACTTATGAACAGTTTTTATTTCTACATATAGGATTCATGCAATTAATAAAAAATATTTGATTTGTAAGAGAGAGACTTGAAAACTATAGAAAGCAACAATGTTGATACTTCAAAAAGTAAAGAAATATAATGTGTGATGATTTACAGAGTAGTCTTTATGAATTAAGGTTATTATAGTTGTTTTTAATTCACATCTGATATCAAAAGATGTATACTTAGTTATATAGTGTATGTGACCTTAATTCTCATTATATATATAAATTTTTGTTTTTAATAGAGGAACTCTACCAGGATGCTATGGATGTAAGTATAATAATGTTTGTATAATAAATCTTATTTTTCCACACTATTGTAAAGCATGTAATGTTTTTTTTTATGAAGTGTGTGCAACAAAAATACTTCCAAGTGACATGGTAAAATACATAAAAATAAATGTTTTAACTCTGTTCCAAAAATGTTCTAAAAAAAAAGTGCTACATTCTATAAATTGTAGCATAAAAAATAATTTCTCTTTTGAAAAAGTAGATCATCCCCTAAAAAGTGGCATGCTTACCATTTCTTTTCAAAATCATTAATCTATCTCTTTTTTATTATTTTATAAAAGAAGAAAATGAGATTAACCCTTTCCAGGCTGATGAGCTTCCTTCAGGTGTTAAGTGCATACCTACGTGTCAGATTTCAAAACCTAAGTAGAAATTATAATTTTATCTTGTATATTAATATTTCTTTACTCAGAAATATTTTAGGATTGTATTTGTTATTTTGTAATGTTAATGTAATTTGCAAATAAAAATGAAAAAAAAAACAACTCATGTTTCTGTTGCAACTCTGAAGAGTCTAACCTGTAAATGGTGCACTTACCAATTTAATCAGTATTTTTTTGACAATCGCAAAGCATAGGTTTACACTTACTATGAAACTGTCGGTCCTTGACAATATAATATATAATTCTCTAGGCTTTGTCTCTCATATGGTTTTCTTCGACTTTGTGTGAATTCTATTAATACAGCATTTTGGTTCCCATTCTTTTATGACCTCATAGGAGATGATTGAACAACTGTTAATGAAACTCAACCTTGAAAATAGGTACAGGTGGAGCTGGACAATTTAATTAGTTACATATAAGCAGCTGTTTCCAGTTATTACTATTTTTGATTATTTCAACTATCCAAGTAATTGAATTATTGCTACTAAACTTTTTTTGTTATGGCAAAGCTACTTATGCTATTTGCTACTTCCAGTAATTTCCAACTGCTGACTAGAGAGAAGGCAACTGGTTAGCATCACCATCCACAACCCTTTTTTTGTTTGTTTGTTGTTTTTATTGAAATGCTGACTAGAAGGAAGGCAAATGTCTGGCAGTACCTGCTATTTGTAGGTACCATGGAACACCATACTAATCAGTTATCAATTAATCAAATGCTATCTATTAATGGAGAAATCAATTACCAAATACTACTACTAATTGCTGACCTCTTACTACTACAAATAAGGTTAAAATACCTTTGAATAAAACAATTTATAAACTATTTACATCAATATAGAATGAATAAAGTGGAGTGAGAAATAATATATGGTTTTGTGGGAAAGTGACAAGACCTAGCTTGTGCAGAAGAGCACAAAAGTTTCTTTAGATCCTGAAAAAAATTGTGTTAATTTAAATTTGTTTGGTAGTTATGGTAATTTTCTCAAAACATCAAGTAAGCCTTATTAGGTTTAGAGGGTACAGTAGTGATAGCATAATATTTTGATGACTCCTATCCTTATTTATCGAATATTATTGTTAAGTTTATCATATTCAAACAACAAACATAAATATAAAACTTATATTGAAAACAAAGTATTATTTAATAGGTATAAATCGATTTTGATCAAGAATATTGTTAGTAAAAATATTTTTATCTAGCCTAACCTGACACCATTTTGAAAGGCCAGATTTTAGGTCGCTGCTAAATCTTTGTCAGTTTATGCAGTGTTTTTTACAATTTATAGCTAAAATGGTGATTACTGCAATCAGCAAATTCAAGTATCGAAAGAAATATTTTAATAAAAATCAACAAATCTAACTTTCTGATCAACAATAAAAAAAATATATAAATTCTAAGAAGAAAGAAAGTATTTTATTAATTCCTTCAAAAAAAGTGTCTTACAATAAAATTTTATAAATTTCTTGATATAAAAATTGATAGAAAAACTAAATGAAACTATATGTGTTTTTTAAGCCCCAAACTAGGCAATTGAGTGAGTTTGTTCTAAGTTTCTTGCCCCCAAATCTGGAAGAAGCTAGCAAGTTTTGTAGTTCTTAATTGCAGTTATGATACAAATTTGATGCGTTTTTTTTTGTGAAATAGCACCTGTACTGCTCAGATTAGAAGTGTTCTTGGAAGGACAGATAAGATCTGAAAACATAATTTAAACATCAGCTGTAGTATATTAACAGTCACGTGAAATACAACAGGTATATTTTTTGTGAGTACACAATTACTGAATAATTAAAGTTTTTTTTATTTCCTTTGTTAATAGTCTATCAGGAAGGATTTTTGATTAGTAGGTTGTATTAGAAAAAAGAACATGAAGAACAACAGTTGGGTAGCTTATATCTCAGCCTGCAAATAAATTAGTAACAGAAGTATTTGTAAGTGCTTGTACACTTTTGGATATGGCTATAGAAATTTTTAAAGATGGCACACTAAAATTTTCTGAAGAAATTGAAAGTTGGGGATATTCAAACTCACAACTTTTTTACTGGACAGATGCTTTAGTCAATCAGGATACCATTTCTTGAAACTCCGAGTCTCGGTTTACACTTTATTGGTTAATAGATCAACAGTTTACATGGTGTGGCTTGTTTTAAGGACAATTTGTAAGTGCAAGATGTTGGTGAAAGGTGATGGAATTTTAATTTTTGTCAGTGTTTCAACCATATTTAAGATTTTTCAGTTGAATTATATTAGAAAAACTTAAATTTTAATCCCAATACGAAATTTTTAACTTGGGTTTCCACCATTGGCAAAAAAATTAATAAAAGTGTCATGAAGTAAGAACTAGGGCTGGTACATATAATTTAAATCTAACATATTGTAATGTATTCTAATTAAAATCAGCTCATAAAGTAAATTAACTTTTTTTTATTATGAGACCCTTAGTTTCAGTGTCTTATAAAACCCTACAACCATAAAGAGTAAGTTGTTTCTGTAAATTAATTTCTGTGTATTTGTAACTACAAACACAAGTTAATGTTTATCAACATTCTTTTTACATTAATATTTTCAAAAGTTTCAGCTTCTGGTAAAATCTTAAATTTTATTGACTTAAGAATTGAATAGATTGTTAAGTTGATTTTTTTAAATTTAAAGATAGCCTCAGATCCTAATAATGAAAAAAAAAGCTTTTTTTTTTCAAATATATTTTATTTTATTTATTTCATCCTTCTTTTTCCAGGTTTTTTTAGTCAAATGATAAATGTCTTATTTGATTTGTTTTTTATTCTTGCTCTAAGGATAATTAATTTTTATCATTCTAAAATAAACATTGCTTTTATGAATTTAGTGTCTTTTTTTATTTTTCTTCACCGTAGCAGAATCCAGTTGAAGAAGATCTTTATGAAGAGATGCCTGCTGATACAATTTCAAAGTAAGATTTTTATGCATTAACAGGATTTGTAAATATTTAGATATACAGTCTTTGGATTTTAGAATCTTTATACTTCATTGAATTAATTTAAGATATCTAAAGTAATTATGATACAAAACATAATGCATAAAAAAAAAGATGACTAAGTTGGAAAATAACAAAAACAGTACATAAAATTGTGGAATCACAATAAAATGTCAAATTAGATTTTGAATCGTCTAGGCATTCATAAACAAAGTTTAGTCATATTTAAAAGAAAAAAAGGCCAGTTAGACAATTCAAAACCTAACTTGGTGCTTCATTGTGATACCACAACAACTTAGAGGTATCTTCTCTATGGCCACTTTTTATGTTTTTGTGCTGGTGTGGTATATTCAGGTGAATTTAATTAACTTGAGATATATTGGATAAGTCTGCTGAGCAGGATTTTCAATAATATGAGTTATTATGTAAAAATGCTGAAGGTATACTGTTGAGCTTAAGTGTAGGAATAACTGGACTGAATACAAAATATAAGACACTTCTAACGCAATATTAATTTATTTAAAGACAAAAAAATGGTATGTGTACTTGTGTGGTCGAGTCATCGATGACCTCTTGGATAAGTGACCAGATCTTCAGGTTTTCTTTTTCTGAAATAAACCTCTGCAGAAAAAATCATGATGAAAGCCAAGTTTTACAGATTAGTGGAAATCTTAATGAATTTGTATTATTAACTACCACTCATCATTATTAACTAGTTTTAATTGAGACTCAAAAATTCAAACACTAATTATGATAGAATCTAAAGGTGTTTCTTTCCAGATATAAATAAAATTACAGTAATATATATATAGGATATCCACTAGCAAAAATTAATAATAACTTTCAATCATAGCAATATATCTACTAACAGCAAAACTAAAAACCAGTACAGTAATGAGTACAGCTAATTAAGTATATTTTTCTTATGTTCTTTTATATATATTTTATTACCTCCAAATTCCAGTTCCTATAAAATATTGCCTTTTACAACTTTTGAAGTGATAAAAAAAATAAAATTATCATCATGTAGAATAGAGATTATTGTATGTTACTTTATGTAGGGTTTATGTGTGTGACATATGTACAGCATGTATTGTGTCTTTTAATATGAAGTGTACTATTATTTTGGACTTTGGAGGTTTGCAGCTTGACTGGAGATGTTCAGTGATCCAAAGTAAAGATGAAGATGTTTTCAGATTTACTTGATATAACCTACACCAACTTTTATATTTGTGGTTTCATGAAATATTTTGGTTATGTAAATAAATTGCATTCACATGATGGGTTCAAATAGCATCTGAGAAATGCCAGAACTTCAAATACATTAACATCTCATATCATCATGAGCTTTGTCATGTATGATACAAAGGACATGTTGAGTTATAACTGTTTCTGTGTTTAGGGTGGGTTTACAAAATTTGCTTAAGGAATCATCCTCTGTATTATTACAAAATTACCAAATCAAAGACATGTTTTATAGGTATTACAGTTTGTATATTAGCTAAGCTGCCTGTGTTGGAGAAAAAAGTTTTCTTTAAAAATTAAGAAACCTTTCTTGTTCCACAAAATAGAAAACTATGGTATAATTCCTCTTTTGACAAGATATATGTTTGGAATGTTTTTTGGTTTGTTTTGAAATTCGTGCAAAGCTATACGAGGGCTATCTGCGCTAGCCGTCCATGATTTAGCAGTGAAAAACTAGAAGGAAGGCAGCTGGTCAGCACCACTCACTGCCAGTTCTTGGGCTACTCATTTACCAATGAATAGTGGGATTGATCATCACATTATAACGCCCCCACGGCTGAAAGGGTGAGCGTGTTTGGTGGAACGGGGAATCGAACCTGTGACCCTCAGATTGCGAATCGAAAGTCCTAACCACCTGGCCATGCCAGGCCTGTTTGGAATGATTGTAGTATATATTACTATAAGGCAAATATATAGAATGTTAGATACAGCTCCAATACTTATTAGTTTTCAAGAAAAACTAAACATGGAGGCAAAATTATACTTTTTAGTGATAAAGTTGTGTGGTCAATTTATAAGTATGCAATTTCCCTCTGGCTCAACACCATTTAAATAATGTGTTAAAGAGATTTCTCAGAAAATTATCTTTGCTCTTGTGTTTAGTCCATCATGATCTTGTATTTTGAAAATACTTTATTGTTCTGTACTGTTCTATTTAGTGATGAAGCAAATGGGCCTATGTACAGTAACCGAAAAGAAGAACTGCGATTTAAGAAAGAAGAAGAGAAACAACGGAGAAAAGAACAGAAGGAAAAGGAAAAGAAAGACAGAGAGCTTGAAAAACTTAGGAAAAAATATTTGGTAAAATATATCATAAATTATTCTAATTATAACAAATTACTAGTACCAATAATAAGTCTATTACAGGTTTGTGGAAACCTTAATGAATTTGTATTATTAATTACCAGCCATCATTATTAGCTAGTTTTAATTGAGACTCAAAAATTCAAACACTATTTATGATTTTTTCATATGACTTTAGTCACTCGGGGAAAGCCCTAACAGAGAGAAAAGATCATGTGGATTATGTACATTTACCAAAAGTACTGAGTGAACAAAGACTGATGATTATTAATTTACCAATGCACAACATCTGCCACTACCACAGTTTGTTGAGCATAAGCAAAGCCCAGATACATAATTTTATGAAGATATCTTTTTGTGTGTTGATCAATTGAGATTTAATACATCATAGAATATAACTATACTTTACTTAATTATTGATGGGTTTGGTCTTGTATGTTTGTTTGTCATTTAATTTATGTAATAATTAAAATGAAAATAAACACTAGAGTTAATGCATTCTTCGTGGGAAATGTTGGAATATAGAAAAAAAAATTAAGGTAAAAAATTAATATAAAAAAGTAGTTTCTGTTTGTAGCAATTGTAACGTTTTCAGTGTTTGAGATGGCATTGTTTGTAGTAATATTAGCTTCTCCACTGTTTGAAGTGCCATTGTATACTTAATTTGAAAGAAATGTATAAAAAATATTAATTTTCTGACATTATTAACACATAACTGGACTGAAAAGAAAAAATTAGGAGTAAATAATGCATATAATATTACTTATTTAGTCATATTTGTGCAAAAATAGGATTTGTTTTATATAATGAAAAATACATCATCAAAAACTTCACTGTTTTGAAAATGATTACATAATAGTAGCATAATTTTGTAGGCTATTCAAGTTTTACATGCTTAAGTTGTGAAAACATAAAAGTGCTTATACTATTGTTCAAACCTTCTAGTCAGTGCAAAAACCCACTTAGACTTTCTTACATTTGCATCTGCTTTCTGCATTGCTCTTTTATTGAATTTGATTAACTCAAGTAATAATGACATTTTGTATCAAGAAAAATTAAAATTTTACAATAATTCCAATTCTGGAAGAATTAATTTATTACAGTATAACAAAATTTATTGAGTTGCACACTACTGTGCTTTAATGTAATAGAAATAAGAATTAGGCTATACGTGTATGTGAAAAAACCTTAAAAACGTGTTGGTTAGTGACAAACTGCCACAGGACATTCTCTGTTTGTATGTGTGTAGTACATTCTTAAGATTTAGGCAATTATGCATAGAGTTATGTTTGTAAATTTATTCATATGCACTTGTACAAATATAAAACCAAGTTATTTCAGTGCACAGAAATTTTATAATATATCATTATCATGGTGATAAATGTGAAATTGACCCACGTTCTGGATTTTATTTAAAATATACTTTGTTAGATAGGTTACATCTAGAAGAAATTGCAATGCAATTTTCGTTTTTTTATAACTGATTCTCATAGTTAATTGGCATTTTGTTTTTTGCTAAATGAAACAAAATTTTTATTTTAGCCATTAACCTTAAAGGATAACATTTAGATTAACAAGTTTTGTACTTGTCAAATTGGAAAATTTTACTCTTGTATTCTTTATTGTCCTTAGAATCTAATAATGGTTATTTTCTTCATGGAAAATTTTTCTTTGTTTCTGTGTATATTATTATTATTTTTACTTAGATAACAGGTGACGAATTACCAGTGGATACTGGGGTGGTCAAGTGTGACAGTCGAGGAGGACGGTTAGACTTAACAGTTAAAAAAGGTGAAGTCCTGGAAATATTGCGCATGGAAAACAATCCCTCAGGAAAATGGCTTGTACGAAATGACCGAGCAAAAAGTAAGAAATTTTGGTTTAATTGATATTGGGTATTTTATTTTAGTAATATATTTTTATGTACAAGGCTTCTAACTGGTATTGGTTAGTTACAATTCAGAAATGAAAACTTGAAATATATTGTAAGTTATATGATACCTTAGAATATCTTGCTGAAGTTCACTTCTACCAGGAATAAAAATAGATTACTTATATAGAAATAATTGCAATCCCATCTTGGTTATATCTAAACCTTTGCTAATCTTGTCTTTAATCAGAATAATCTTCTTAACTATTTTAGAAAAGTTCACTACAACTTTTTTGTCAGTGTTACAACATTTGCTTTGGTACAGCACATGTTTGGCCATTTTTCAAATTATTTCATCACTCTTGTGAAGCACCTATTTCCATCATTTGACTAGATGATGGGTTTAAGACTCATTAGGTACTCTGCTGTTTTAATTGTTCACTGTGCATGTTTTTGGATCTTTTCTTTCACATCACAGGTTACAGACTCAGCAACACGCTTCCAGCTTTTCTCTGTGAAGTCTGTCAACATCAAGTTATCCAGTTGTTGGAAGAACATGTAGATCACAATTACTACCAGCTGTATTTTGTCATGTGGTCACTAATATGTTCCTTTTTATGTTACAAGATCTTGTCACATTATTTAATCTCAATCTTAAATAAGCCACTTCCTGTAAGGAAGTAAGGTCTGTTTCAAGTTTAATCTGTTTTACCTTGAAGTACAGGAAGCTTAGAAGTAGTAACTTGAGTAGTCTGTATAGATGTGGCCACAAATTACTGCTGTGGTGACTAAAGTAACATCTTGTTGAAATTCCTGAATACTATCATAAATAGAAACAGGTGGTCTCATTCTCTAGTATGTGAGCTTTTTTTGCAATTGGTCCACTGCATTTCTGTGTTTTTGGCCCTTTCATGTCTTTTTAGCATAGAAACTTGTTCATCCACATCAGTCAGTATTTTGGGAATTTTAGAATATGTAGTTTATTAAACAGTTATGAGATTTTTATCAGTGTCTTCAATAGAATTCTGCATAACAGAGTATTTGTTCTGCATATTCATTCATAGGTCATTTTCCGGAATTTTCTCGTTCTTAAAGTCAACTATAACCTAATGCAAATTTCTTACAACTTCTTTATTTCTGTATAGTTCTTTTTCAAACAGAAATTGATAATTTGCAATTTTTTATCTTCCAAAGCAGCCCTAAATATGTTCCGACATTCTCACATTTGTAATTTGGTTTTCCTGCCTCTTGGTTTTGCTCTTTCATTTTTTGTCACATTCGTCTGTCATCTTTAATGATGTTTCACATCATTGTAGCAAGGTCTGCAGAATACCCTAATTTTCTGTACAAATATTTGACCTTTGGCCATTTTTCACTATCAGTTTTATTCCACATTGTTATATATTGAACTTACAATTGGATTTATTTGTGCTTCATAAATTATTTAGTGAGAAATTAATAATACTAATAATGATAGTTATCATAAAAATGTAATATATTTTAAAACTTGTTACAACAAAATATTCATAATATAACAGTAGCATGCTACTATTGTATAAAATGCATATATAAAAAAATTAGCATATTTTAGTATGAATTTTAATTTTATGTTATACTCAAAATGTCTTTTTAATTTTCATTGATGATTTGTTTTTTTAAACATATTTTCATTTATTTCATTGAGAAATTAATCTGTGTGTCTCTTTAATTCTTTCTCATGAAGGTTATTTTTATGAAGAAAAAAAAATTATAAATTTATCTAGTATAATGCAGAGATTCATGAAGTTTTAACAAATGTTTTCATAGCCCATTCTGTCTGTGTGGACAGCAAAGTAATTTTACTGAAACAACATGTATGCCCATTATAGAACAACTACTCGGGGTATCATTAGAAAAGTATTTGATTACAAAGACATTTGGTTAGGAGTTACGGATAGTTATAGACTAGTGATACAGTGGGAAACTAGAGATTTTGATAGTTATTTAAGATCTCAATTTCAGTTTTCAGGACCAAAAGGGAAATGTACTCAAGAAATATTTTCCTATGATTAACCATAGAGTTACAAACAGATTTTGCCTTAACTACTTTTTGGAATTGTGACCATTGGTCTGTTATGTAAAGCATATGAGGTATTGTAAGAATCAAAGTAATAGTTTAATATTGTTACAGAAAGAGAAAGCAAATTAGGCTACAGAAGTTTGTCAGTTAGTAGTTTGATATATATATATATATGTAATAGCGTTTCAGGTCTTTACCTCCTAAACAAAAGCCTCACTGGTGACAGTGTTTAATGATTATACATATTTTTCAAACGTAAGTTATATCCTCTCATCTGTGCACATATTCCAGTTTTCCTCTGACTCAAAGTCTACTATGATGTGACTTCTAGGATTTTCCTGTCAGAATAAATAAGTTAACAAGAAAATAGAGGAAGTTGATAGTAGTTATTACACCGTAGAGTTAATTTTTTACTTGAAAAATGGAAATTTAGAAGTAAAGTGTAATAAAGTTTCCTTCTACTTTCCTTCCATTATCTACAAGGCTGTATAGATATATATAAGCAGAGACAGTTCAAAACTGTTCTTTTATGACTGTTGTACTGAAAAAATGTTTACTATAATATTTGAAGCTAAAGCCAAATCAAATACCAACATTTGATATATTTTATTTGGGATGCTGTTAAATAATTTAAAAATCCATGTTAAAAGTATTTTCTATTAAGTTTTATATTTGTTGAGTAATGAATTTAGCATGATATTTTTCATTGCTCTCACATTAAGTATCATTGAAGTTTGTTCAATAACCTTGATTGCATGATGTTGAAGAGGCTGTACATGAAATTTTAACACTATTTTCAGTTGGGTATGTGGAACTGACAAACATTCAAGTTGATGCCAACTCAATAAAATCTGTAAGTTTATTTTATTTTTTTTTGTTGAAGCTGCTCAGTGTCTAATGTGTGTGATAAGTAAATTTATTTAAAAAAATGAAAGTTTCCTTATTGTGATAGAGCTATTTGAATGAGTTATTTTTTAAAGGTTTTTCAGTGATATATGTTTCTTTACTAATGTACCAATGTCATTATCTTGCTATTTATGTAGCAATATTTATTAAGCAGTATTTCGTCTCAGGTCTACAGAATAGAATGGTTTTCTACACTAACATCATTGGTGTTTTGCTGCAACCTATGGCATCTCAGGCAACATATTTAGCATATATTTAATTGGCAGTGAAATTCCTACCATTCATCAATACATTGCTGCTATGTATGGACTCACAGTTAGAGGGTTATAAAAAATTCTTTCCAAAGAGAAATATTCATACATCAAGATATTTAACTGACCTAGAGCCAAAGGACAAAACATTTTAAAGATGGGAATCTTCAGTATTCAAGATAGAAATGGGAAAATTTGTATAGTGGAGTGTTTAGGATACTAACAGGCTCGAAAGCCATATCTCGGCCCATTCTGAACATCATAATCCACTCAATAGGCATGAAAGAAAACCTTCCAACTCAAAAACCCATTGCAATAAAGCTGGGCATGTTTTCTTGTATTGTTAACAATGTAATAAATAAGGATTTCAAGTTCATAAGCTTCTTTCAGTCACATATTAATATTAGAAGCTGTTTTCAAGAAAATTATGACTAAGAAACTGGAATGATTCAGCTACTTATCAAGTCACCAGATGCAGGTTAAGAGATTTTTGCACCTTTGATCTACCTAATGTAGTCTTGAAGCTAATGTCTATATTTAGTGGAAGGTCTGCAGAAAGTTTGTCAAGATATGTAATATAATAAGGTTGATTATCCTGTTGTGTAGAAAATTGTTACAATGGAAATTATAATGTCAGGCAATTGTGCATGATCATGACCAATAGACTGAACACGATGAAGGAAGTAATTCCCAAGTCCAAAGGCAGCACAGTGCCTTTAACATGTTTTTTTATAAAGTGTAGCTATGTCAGTATGAATGTAAAATAAAATTGAAATTATAAGCATGGAATCAATAACTTGGTGTAGTATTCCCAGCGTTAGGTATGATTTGCTGAAGTAAATCATAAAAAAAAAGGTACAGAAAAAGTAAAAAACATCTTCCTTTTTTTAAGGGGGGGGGAGGAGTTGTATGAATTGTACCATTACAACTAACTCTGTTGTCAAGTGCTGTTTATTTTTTGTCAAGCAGGTTTATTTAGTATAGATGTATCTTTCAATAATTTTGTTGTTTTCCATAATTTTTTCAGCATATATTATATTCATTAAATATGTTAATAATGTCATTTAGATGAATACAACAAAGAGAGAAGATATTAGTATTAAATGTTTATTGTAGTTTGGTCATGTACCAGTTTCTGTTGTTGTTTTTACAAGTTATTCATTATTAAATGTTGAGTTTGAAGAAAGTTTCATCTAGATCTATCAAAGAAAGGACAGATATTCTACTATTTATGATTAGTTTTATTAAATCTAAAGACTTGTTAATCCATCAAATGATTAGGACATTCATATATACTGTGTTATATTAATTGATGATGCATTTTTTATTAAATCCTAAGATATGCTAACCTTTCATATGCTTCCAGCACATTAATGTACAAGGTGTATACATGTTTTTTTCTTTTTAATTTATGGCTCATTTTAATAAATCCATTTATGCTAATCCAGCATCAGAAGTTTTCTTTCCATAGGGCAGGAGGGAATGTTTCCCATAAACTTGGTTCTTCCCCTCACACTTAGAATTTTTTGCAAGTTTGAAGGTTTTATTTCATAATAACTTTTGGTGTCAAACATCTATGTACCTCAAAACTGTACAATTTTAAGACATACTTGTAAAACATCTTGGGGGAATATAACTAGACCATGTATATAGACATACAGTCACTATATAAAATCCTCCATGTCCACATCCCCAGAAAGAATTATGAAAGAAAACTTCTGCTACAAATATTTCCAGTACATTCATCTGTACAGCTTTATTTTAAAATATATTGTATTAAATCCAAAGATATTTGCTAATCCTACTAATTTTCAATTATTTTTTTAAACCTGCTTTCTAGAGCATCTTTTGAGGTTTATGAAGAAATGTTTTAATGTAACTGTTTTTTTTTCTCTCTGGGAACTGAAGGTTTCCGTGTGTTAATGATCCTGATAAAAGTTGTGGAGTATGTTAAACTCCAGGTTGTTAAAAATATCCATATACTGCTAATCTACTGTAAAGTAAGAATGAAATGAGTTAGATGTATATGTTATTTCACTTTGTGGCTGATTAATAATTCAGAAATAAAGTTTTTGTGATTGTATGGGGTAACATTATGTTAAGATATAGAATTGTATTATTGTTAAATAATTGTTTAGTATTGAACTTTGTCCTGAAGGAAAAGTTGTATTAAAAAAATAAAAATGTCCAAACTACAAAAATACAGCGATTCTATATTTTTAACATATGGTATATAAAACAAAAAATTAATATTAGAAGACAAAAGCTCTTAACAATCAGATTATATGGTGAGGCATATCTGTATTTCATGATTACCATTAATACATTTGTAATTGTTTTTCTTTCTCCCTATTGGTCCTCTAATTTTGGAAACTTGATGGTATCAATCGTTACTGCTGTCATTTTTTAATAATATTATTTACCTTCAGTTTTATTGTTTGAGTGGGATGCAAAAAAATCATTACTTGTTTTTATATTTATTTGAAACAGGTTATTCATTTTATTCAAGAAGGTACACTTATGTTTAAATAATATAATAATTATTTTCAGTTTGGTCCTTTGTTAGTTGTTGATTAATTCATTGTTGTCTGAAATTTAGCCAAATAAGATAAAATACCTGAGAAATGAAAGAAACTTGTAATTTTGTTTTATTAAAAAATGATGCATTTCTTATAATAATTAAGGTATAAATTTAGTTTTATGATAGATTTTGTAAAGTTATGTGTACATGCATGTGTGTGTTTAGTGTTCTGTATTGTTATTGTGGTGTTACTAGATTATTTATTTAAAATTTGTTCATTATTGAGATTTAACATTTCTTGTTCTGTTAAAGGTTAAGCTATAAAGTTCATGACAAGTTTTAAAAATATAAATTTAATTTTTTATGACATCAGAGAGTGGCATTAACAAAAACTACAAATTTAATCAGATCTCTGTGTGTGAGTGTTTGTTTTGCCTTGCTTAAGGTGTTCATGAAATGACACAAAGACAACTCATGAAATATTAAAAAATTCTCAGCAACTTTTAGAAGGTTTTAAGAGCAGAAATAAATAAAAATAGTGAGTAGCTGTTTCTTTACTTTGTGTTAATAGAATAAATTTACTTTAAATTATATTCAGTCTATACCAGGAGAATGTTGAATAAGAACAACATAAATAAATTAGAATAATATTGTTTTTCTTGCTTTCATGCTTTATGTTAAAGATAAACACTGTATTTTTTTCAAGGGTTCTCCAGTTTCCATAAAAAAACAAGCATTGTTAGATTGATAAACCAGCATAATTTCCCAATAGTTGATTGAAACCTGTCATATATGTCCATGCAGATTTAACTTCTTTTGTTTTGACAATTTTTTTTTCTTAAATATGAATTGGCTTTTTAAGCAAATGGCTTTAGTAGAAAAGTTTGTACCAGATAGGGTACTAAGAATTCAGTTTACTTGTAAACAAAAAAAAATATGTTTGTACTGATATTGGATACAATAAAATACCCACTGAATACATCATGTTTCTCACACCACTGATGTATAAATGGCACAATTTGATTACAATTCTTTATTGGCAGTTTTATTAGCTAGCCATTAAAGTGTATTCAGTAGCAGCATATTAAAACTTCCCAATATATTAACTTTTAATGATATTAGATGGAAAATATTTTTGCATTAAGAAACTTTGCATTTGTGGTTTCATAGGTATGAACTAAATTTGTTTTCATACATTTGTACTGGTCAGAAAAAATAAGGTAGAATGAAAGATAATTAAGATGATTCTGCTTTTAACCATGCTGAAAAAATGTAATGTCAGTTTGTACAAGTTCGACATTAAGAAGTTAACAAAATAATTGATACATGAATGTTATCAGCATGAGTACGGAAATATTGGGTGTAGATAATTATGGAATGAAACAAAATGGTAAAGCCACTAGTGATATCCAGTGAAGTATTAAAGATTTTGCCACCCTTAGGCCCATTTGGAAGTGCTGCCCCCAGTGTCGCTGGACTGGACATAGTCTCAATGAAGAGCTATAAAATATTTTATAGATCTTGGCCATAACACTAAAATACATGTCAGTGAAGACATGAGCATAAATAAAATGTTGAGAGTGGAATTAAAAAATGATCACATTTTAATCTTGAAAGAGGAGAGGTCGGCTCATTTACAAAACATTTGTTTAAGTTTGGTGTTTACTATAGTAGAAGGGCTATAAAGAGATTTGTGTTCAATAAAGTTGTTAATTTAAAAACTTCATTTTATGTATATATATATTATGTGAAGTAATATTCATAGAAGCTATTTACTCACATTATGATTGAATCTAAGGTTACTTATGCTGTGCTCTCTGGGCAGTGAGCATATTGATAACTTCATCATGATCTGTAGAATTCATCAGGTCTTTTTCAATAGCCAGCACAGCCAGTGTTTAGGCAGTCTTCCAGCATTCTTGACCATAGGTAATTCTTTATGCATTTTAACACGGAGAAAAAGAGCTATGCAGAACTATTTGTTGCCGGTGTTCGCAAGAACATTCTGATGGCAATGTCCACATTAGGATAAATGCTGCAAAGGTTCTTCTTCCACAGTTTGTGGTGCATCTTTAATACCAAGTTGTTTTCTTTGCAGTGGGGTTGAGAACGGTTGTTTATTAGCAGTAGCAAAGAGGTGAGAGGTGGCAAGAAGAGACGTTTCATAGATTTAATTTTCAATAACTACTTTTTAGCATTGTGTTTGCTACATATTTTTATTGACTTCAGAAATTTAAAAAGAAAAATATATTGCTGTTAAAAATTTGTTGCCCTAGGTCTGTGTGTAAGTATGTCACAGGTGATACACATTATTGCTCTTTACAAATGAGAATTAATTAGAAAATATAACAAATGTAACTAGATCTGTGAAACTGATAAATTAGGGTACACTTAAGAATGTAGCATTATGGTACTACTATACTATAAAGTTCTTGAATTTTACTGGTATGAATTAAGACTATCATTCAAATAAATTATTTAAAACCTAAATAACATTTAAGAACAGTAGTTTATTAAGCTATCATATAAAGATTTGATTCGTACACTTTTGTAAAATGGCTAATGTATCATCAAAAAAAAAGAAATTGTAATTCCTTATGCCTGATTTATTGTAGACATGCTCGTAGATTTGTTGCTAATGTACTGGTTTCTTTTCCTGACTTATCTAATTAGTATCTAATCAGTACTTTCAGTGTTTTGGCATATATATTTAAGGCTCAATTCTACGTTGGAGAAAGTTGAGGCATAAGCATTTAGAAAAAGATATTATTTAGGAGTCATTAAAATTGAAACACTTTAACAATTTCACTGTGTGAAAACCTTTTCAAAGAATAATGTTAATTTTGGTGTCATATTTTCATGGGGATTGTTGATTGCAACATCCTGTTCTTGTAGGTTTTTCAGAATTATTGTACATGTGTATCAGTCACTGCAGGAGAATGAAATGTAATATTTTCTATTATTTGTATATGTCTTATTTCACAGGGTGATAAGCTATTTTTCAGTTCACTATATAATTAACTGAACTGAAACATATTGGTGCATGTGTGTGTGTGTTAATATAAAAGTTATACTTATTAGATAGAATAGTAGGATAAGTTTTTAAAGTTTGTGATTTAAATGTGTTTCTTAATATTTCTACTTTATCTGTGTAACTAACACTAAGAAGGAAATATATTAACTAAACGGAAACACGTTTCTTGGATTCTTGTTTTAACAACTAATACTTTATGTTTATTAACAATGAAGTTATTGTATACTGGACGATGTTAGGATTCTCTCCCATCGAGAACAAAGACGTCAACTGTCCACCCTCTGGTTGATCTTGCCAGTGAGAGAGCCCAAACATGGTTGGCTAAGTTAACTGCCTGTGTGAGGCAAGTGGTTTCTGCCTGGAAAATTAACTGATTTAGTGCATGCTAACATATGAAATGAATCGTAATTGGTTTCAGAAATAGCAATAACAATATTTTATGTTGGCATGCTTAGACAATGATTACTATTATGAAGCAATTTACAGGGTACTTCTGTGCTAATTTCTTTTTCTTACTGATAAATTATCATAATAATAAAGGTAATAATACATTAATTTTTTCTGGCTTTTAACTTAAATTGTTTTTCATAAAATATCTTTTTTGAACCAGGTATACCTTATACTCCCTTCTGCATGTGCTATTATCTGCAAGTTCTTTTTTTGTTTTGGCTGTTCCAATGCATAGTTTGATAAATGGTAAAAGCTAAACCTAATTGTCTTAATAAGTTTATTCAAAGCTTGACTTCTGGACTATTTTTCCTCAAGATTTTAAAATCCTAAACATGTTTATCTAGATAATACTTACAAGTTTGCAAAAATAATGTTCAGTATTTTGTAATTTTTGAAAGTTGGTTATTTTTCTAACTATTAATTTTGTATTTTTCTAATGAAAAACAAAAGCAAATTTTTATTTGTTTCAAAATGGTACAAAAAATTAGTGGTTCCAAATTATTACAGTTTACTAATTTAGTAAATTTTGCTATGATAATTTACCTTGATGGACTTATTTCAATTGCTGATCTTGTTGTGTAATTGAGTGGTTAGGTATGATGCTTTTAATCTCAGAGGGAATTTTTGTTGACAATTTATTAAGAGGAGTTTTTTTTTGTCCCTAGCAATTTTGGAACTAATTTGCATATTACACATTATCTAACACTCATGTCTAGAAACAAAACTGTTCTATTATATAATTTTTGAGTGAGATAGTTTTAAATGAACTTAAGGTGTTAATATTTTTTGTTCTTTTTTACTTACAGTGTAACCCATTTTCCAAAATATTAAGGCAATCTACATACACATTGAACCCACTAATGCTTGGAAATATCTGACAAGGAACATATTAATTCTTGTAAACAGTCGAAAGAAAATTCAGATTATCTGAGATAACAGATTTGTACTAACTGAATAAACAGTCAGAATTCCAACTGCAAGCTCAGTTGACACTAAAATAACCATTCAGCTTAAAATTGTATAATACCTGTGTTAGGCAATCTATCATCTTACAGGCAGAAATCTTTAGATAATTCTGCCAGAATGTTGTAGTCTATCTTTTTGTGTTACCAAAAGCAATAAAATACTATATATTTAAATTATTTTGGAAGTTGTATCAAAATATAACTTCAGCAATGAGAATTTCTTGATAGAATTAGCATGCTCTGAAAATCCCCCCCTAACTTGATTTCATAAAATGTACTTAGAACCTCTGTTTTATTATATTTTTATGTTTTTGTAAGTTTTTAAATAATATGTTGTTCTCTGAATTGCAAGTTTTTATCCAAAATCATTACTCTTCTGAGACCAGCTAGTTGAAATTTGGAACATTTAAACTTTTTTTATTGTATTCAAGCTGCATGATGATTCATCTATGAATGTAGTTGCACGTAGTTTTCAACTTCAAAGCTTGAATCGCATGATCCAGACAATTTTATTATTGTGTGCTTGAACTTAATTGTGTTTTATATTTTTTATATGATTTGCCTGTTCCATGTTTTACTCAAAGAAAGAAGAAAATTTTTCTGAGTTGTAGTAATTGGATTCATAGTTGTTGTATTTGCTAAACTAGTGTTTATTGCAAATTTGTTTAGAATGTACATATATTTTATAACTAGAAAAACAGGTTGAAGTACACTAATTCTATAATGATCATAACAATAAATTGAGTTGAGAGCTACATACAGATATGGTAGTTTAATATAAAGTATATTAAATGTAATTAAAAATAAATGTTTTTTTTAAGTGATACTTAACAAATGTACAATATTTGATACAGATATGCTTATTTTATGTTAAGTACAGGGGGTTTAAACTTTATGTTCTCAGTATTTAAACAGTTGTGAAGCAGTTAAGTCTCAAAGTATCAGATTCTGGCATGCTAGATTTACTGAGCTTAATCTAGTGAAAAAACCTATAATGTAATACGTTGCATCTGCATTACGATTTTCATGAGATGTATGAATGCTTCTTTTTGTCTATTTTGGTAGCTTCTGTGCTCTTTGCAAAGTGTTGCTAATATAACGGAGATAAGAGAATGACTAATGGCTGACGAAACTTATAATGTCACTGATTTATATATTGTACAAGGTATTGTTAACAACTTGTGAAACATGTATTTTCATATTAAGTATGAACTGCCACAACTGATGATTGCTTTGTTTGAATAACAAGCCTTAATGAAGTTCTTAACTGAATGTTAGTTTAACAGTAAAGCATGGCATGTTATCATCTTAGAAATTAAATAATTTCCACAATGTATTATACATAGCAGATTGTTTATTTTGGTATACAAAATGAAGAATGTGAAAATTGTACCTTCTGTATTTTTTTCATTTGTTTGTGTATTAGAAGTTTAAGGTATGCCAAAATGATGCTCAGAGCATATATCAGTTTTAATTTGGGCCTAATTTTGTGTATGCTACAGGTGAATGCATGAAGATTTTTATTATTGTTATTCACGTGTGCCTTTATTGCATATGTGCATGTAAATTGTGTTTGTTCCTAGTGTGTATTTTCTTATTAGTCATATGTTCGTTTTTAATATCATTTGTAAATCATCCTTGGAAGTTCTTAGTTTAATGAAAGAGAATGATATTTAACTTGCATGTAATGATGATTTCATGAGCTGTGTTTCTTTGTTAGTACATTATGTACACTCTCTAAGACATTTAATGTTAGTTTAACAGTAAAGGTATTTAAAGCATGGCATGTTATCATCTGAGAAATTACATACTTTTCACAATGTATTATATGTAGCAGATTGTGTAAGTTTAGGCACGAAGTACTAAGAATAAAAAAGTATTCATCATTGATGGTAACATATTTCAATGTACTCGAGTTAATACCTGTCTGAATACTCTTATTATTTGTACCTTGGGACGTTAAATATAGTTGGGAAATTTGGTTTATTTTATAATGACTTCATGGTGATATAATAGCATTGAAATGTAAGATGTTTAAATATATATGTAAAGGACTGTTCATATATAAAATGTTACTTTAAAGCACTTATGGTAAGTTTCTACTGTATATTGAAGATGTTACAATGGTATTTCAGTTTATGATTTTCATTTAAGTCATTTGAAAAGTAACAGAGTGAAGCAGCTGCTATTTGTTTTATATATACTTGTATTTAGTTTTATCTTTATTTGAATACTTTGTCATTGGCAAACTTGATTCAGTTTGTATGTTGATTTCAAAAAATGTAAGTATCATAAATCTTGCAGTTCAAGAGTAAAGCATTATCTTACATCTTGAATCAACAATGAAGCACTGTCTTATAGCATTGATCTAAGATAAAGGCATTTTTTTCAAATGTGAAAGCATTCTCTTATAACATTTCACATCTCAAACCAGTATAATGTATTGTCTCACATCTCAAACCAGTATAAAGTATTGTCTCACATTTCAGACCAAGTATAATGTATTGTCTTGCATCTCAAATCAGTATAAAGTATTGTCTCACATCTCAGACCAAGTATAATGTATTGTCTCACATCTCAGACCAAGTATAATGTATTGTCTCACATCTCAGACCAAGTATAATGTATTGTCTTGCATCCCAAACCAAGTATAATGTATTGTCTCGCATCTCAAACCAGTATAATGTATTGTCTCACATCTCAAACCAGTATAAAGTATTGTCTCGCATCTCAGACCAAGTATAAAGTATTGTCTCACATCTCAGACCAAGTATAAAGTATTGTCTCGCATCTCAGACCAAGTATAAAGTATTGTCTCGCATCTCAGACCAAGTATAAAGTATTGTTTTACTTCTCAAACCAGTATAATGTATTGTCTTGCATCTCAAACCAGTATAAAGTATTGTCTCGCATCTCAGACCAAGTATAAAGTATTGTCTCGCATCTCAAACCAGTATAAAGTATTGTCTCGCATCTCAAACCAAGTATAATGTATTGTCTTGCATCTCAAACCAAGTATAAAGTATTGTCTCGCATCTCAAACCAGTATAAAGTATTGTCTCAAAGCTCATACTAAGATGTAAATCATTGTCTCTGAATTGAATCAAATGTAAAGTATTATCTTGCATCTCAAACCAAGTATAAAGTATTGTCTCGCATCTCAAACCAGTATAAAGTATTGTCTCAAAGCTCAAACTAAGATGTAAATCATTGTCTCTGAATTGAATCAAATGTAAAGTATTATCTCACAACTTAAAGAACCATAAACAAATATACACATTTTGACACCAGTAAAATGTGAATGGTTAAGAGTAATTGACCAGATGTTTATAATGACATAACTTGTGAATAAATTAAGTGTCATGTGGTAGACAAAAACACCCTGCTTAAGTAAGCAAACTGTAAAAAATCAAATCAGGTTGTAGGAGCATAGTCCAAATTTCTTGTATATGCTCTCTTTCCAGGAAAGTTAATATAAAAAAGACCATTTTTGTAAGTTAGACACTGGTAAATATCTGATACTGAAAGCAGGTTCCTTATTGTAAGCAAGATTTTAGATTTAAATATTCATTTTGTTCTTGATTGTGTAATTTTCTTAGTTGGATCGAAGAATACTCTTAGTTTAAGATGGGTTAACAAATTGAAGTAGCTTGCCAATGGCAGAGTATGATCCACTCAGAAATTGTAAATTGTTCTTAGTAATTTCAGGTTCACCCATAATTTTGTTTTTATTCTTTAATTATTTTAGGTAATGGTGACAAGAGCGTCCATGCAGAATTTGGCGTAAGTGAAGTTTATATATATATATATATATATGTATATATCTGTAATTTTAATGTTCGTTGTTTTATGAAATGTTAAAAGGGGTAAATCCCATTAATCATTTTATTGAAACATCAAGAAACTAACTTAAAACCATAAATTAAAACTGTTTAAAGTTAAAACCAATTACCCAAACATATCATGCATTTTAACTCCAATGTTTTCCTCAATTACTTTAACTTTAAGAGTTTTAATCTTTGGTTTTAAACTATATGTCTATTGTTTCAATAAAATGGTTAATATTTGTGTATGTTTTCTTGTTTTAACTTTCTTGAATGAGTTGAACAACCAAATTAGATTATCAGTTATTTAATATATTGTATACTTCTTACAATACATATGTTGTGCACTAGGTAATAGTTCTTATTTAAAAGGAAAATCAAAATAATGGGTACTGGTGAAAAAAAAAATGGTACTGAATGTTTTTTAACAAAATGTAATGTACACTTATATTTATGTAGCTTAAATGTTTTTACATTATTTT